CTGCGTGATTTTTAAGAAACACGATCGTTTGCCTTTTACACAAGTTGTCTAACTTAGGGCAAGTTAGTTCACCCCTCCGGACCTCATTTGTTAAAGGGAGATACTATGATAGCACCAAGAGCTCAGCACAGTCGTGGCACACAGCAGTGCCTGGTGAATCACAATTATGATTGCTGTGTGACGAGGGAACGTGACACAAGGCCTTTGCTTTGGACCAGGCTCCTCGTCTGTAGGTCAGGATGCACACCCGGGTTCCTAAACTTTTTTGCTAATCAAACTTTCCTTGAGGGATGGTTAAAAATGGGAATTTTGACATCCTGCTCCCAGACATTCAGATTCCGCAGGTTGATGGGGGCCCAAGAATCTGCATTTTTAACAAGCAGCACTTGCAGACATGAGGGGACCCAGATGCTGATGATTTGAGGACACACTTGGAGAAACCGGGGGCTGAATCTAGTTCCCTGGCTGGCCAGCTCACTGCTGCACTTGTGAGTCCTGGATTGTGTCCGTAACTGGGGAGTTCTGGGGAAAGCTGTTAATGATGCCATTAACGCGAGTTCCCTCCAGTGGGAGGGGGCTCCCGGCTCCCTACTCTGACTTGTCTCTGGACTTCTCACATCTTGGACCTCCCACCTTCAAGGTTGGGATGCAATGATGAGCTGTGGCTAAAGAGAGGGATGTGGCTTCCTCCCAGTCCCCAGAATGGGATTATCTGCAAGGCCAGCAAGGAAGAGGCCAGGATTTTTCAGAACTGGATTAGAATACATTATTGATTCAGGAACGGAGTGACCCTGAAGAGAAGAGGCCTCCCCTCTTGGGGTGTGCCACTAAAGTAGGCTTGGCCGGACCTGCAGGGCCTGAGCGCAACAGGCTCTGAGGGGAACAAAGACCCCCATCGAGTGGAAAGACAGGGTCTGTGGGAGGATGCTGGGCCTGCGGAGCCTGCCTTCCAACAATGCCGTCATCCCCAGAAGGGCGTACTTGGAACATAATGGCTCTAGTTACAAATTCTATTAACTCTAATAGTTGTTCTGTGGTGAATGGATAATGCATTTAGCAGAAATAGACCCAATCAATTTATATGAAACACATAAAACTTTCTCATTGGAATTGGCATCTGTTCTTGAATCAGGAGCATGTGTGGAAATGGACAGCCTGTCACCCTCACTTCTGGGCACATTAGTAGTGCCATGGGTTAATTGGAGATACGGGCCAAATAAAGCCATGGCTCCCTGATGGCATCACCCTTCAACCCTTGGAATCTTGGAGCTGGGAACGGGAAGGGACTCGGACACTGTCTACTTCTAACCTTGACTTTTTTAAAAATTGCAGTCTCTCTGCCCTTGTCTGTGTTCACATTAACCCCCCTCATCTGCTGACTTGCCCTGATGGGAGACCCTGCAGAGGCAGAATGGCCCCAGGGCCACGGCTTGCCAGTGCAACCAGCCAGGGCCCAGCGGGGGTGTTATCTCTTTTAGTCCAGTGCTCTTCCCATGACTCTATATAGTTTTAATTGCTTTTATCCCCGCTTTGATGAGGGATGTGTACTCAGAAAATGGCAGACCAACCTGTCACCAAATAGCTAGAGGCAAGGCTGTGGTTTTGATGCCAAGGCTCCACAGTTAGGGTTGTGGAGTTGGGCCCAAAGTTTGGGCAGGTTCTCCCGTTAGCTGAGCTGATTCCCTTGGACTCGCCCTACATAGCATCTGAGCTCCAAGGAGAAGGATAGAGGGGTAGGGAGGTTGAAGAAGGGTCCTTGGGCCTTGGGGGCCTGCTTATCCTCATCTGGGCTTTTTAGGGAAAGGGTGTGGTAGAGCCTGCCCATTCCTCCTCACTGCTAACATTCATTACTGCCAGATAGAGACAGTCATGGGGAGAGGAAAGAGAAAGAGACAGACAGAAAGAGAAAGAGAGAGAGAGAAGGAGGGAGCAGGGTGAGGGGGAGAGCGGGGGAGAGGGAGAGAGAGAGAGAAGGAGGGAGCAGGGTGAGGGAGAGAAAGAGAGAGAAGGAGGGAGCAGGGTGGGGGGAAGAGAGAGAGAGAGAGAGAGAGAGAAAGAAAGAGAGAAGGAGGGAGTGGGGTGAGGGAGAGAGAGAAAGAGAGAAAGAGAGAGAGAACCTGGTTCTGCAGCCCCATGATGAGATTACCCCAGTCATTTGGTTAGTGTAATTGTATGTGCAAAGCTGACAAATGTAATTTCCCTGGACTTAATACTTGCCCCATTTTCTCTTTCAGCATCTTCATCTGATTAGCTAAAGTGACTCAGAGTCTTCCGAGAATGCCACATGAGGCACCTGGACAGGATTTTCCTGGCCTGGAAACTTGAGCGGCTCAGCTCTGCTCCATGGGCCCGGAGGTGAAGAACCTCCCAGATCCAGGGAGTCAGGCCGAGTCCCTCATCAGAGGGGAGGGCTGCTGTGGAGAGTGAGGAATGTTTAGGGAAGCTTAGAAGTGTTGCCAGTAACTGTTTCCAAAAGACCCCAAAGGGCCTTTGCGTTTCTAGTTCTCTAACACCTGCCTGGAGGAGAGTTGAAATGCCACCAGCCACCTTGTTCCAGCCCAGCAGAAACTGACAGCTTTGAACTTTGGAAAGAAAAATCTTATTATCTTGTCTCCTCGATTGTTTGTCAGAAGGTTGGGAGCTGATTTGTTTACTGTTCGTGCAGGGCCTCTTGGCTGGAACTCTTCCCTGCCCTTTGCCATTTTTAGTGTTTTTCTCCGATTGGAGACTGATACCTCAAAGTAGCTTAGTTGGGTGAAAGAATGTGGACTCCAGGTTGACTTCCTGGCCCCACTGCCTTCCAGCCTTGGGGCCCTTAAATTCTTCCATACCATTTTCCTCATCCTTACAGTGGTAAAAACAGCAACTGTCCCTGGGGCCCTGTGAGGACAAGTTGTTGTGTGAAATAACCTAGGCTATGGGATCACGCTCAGTGATCTTTCCATTCCTTTCCTTCCCCTTCTGGCCTATCCCTCTGTCCTTTTTCAGGGGGCCTCCCAGGTGGAAGCTCTGAGCTTGTGCTTTGCAAACATGCCCCTGCTGCCTCATAGGCCACTCTCCTCCCATGGCCCAGGAGCTCCAGAATGGCGAGTACCGGCTCAGCCCTGTCCCTGTTGTAACCATGCAGCATGCTGGGCATGTGTCTGCTGGGTACGTGTCTGCTGGGTGATTATTACTGAGTGGGTGTGGGAGTGGGTGTGGCCTTGGCCTCTGCCTCCATGAGTCTGCCTGGACCCATAGGCACTACCTCGGTATTGCTCTGAGACTGGGGTTGAGAATGAGGGATCAGGTTTCTCAGTGGGGAGACTTGTGTTCCAGCTGCTGTCTCCTCCAGCCTTTAATTGTATTTAGAGGTGGTGGGGGAGCCATCGCCACGTGTGAGCCACTGGTGATTTCATTAGTCTGAGTGGCCATTGGGCAGGCCCTTATCGATTAACCTTTTAGAGACAGTGGGAGTTATGTGGCAATAAACTCATGAATCGAAGAGGGTGGATGGCTGTTTCCTAAATGCTGGCTGCAGGGGCTGGCGGCTGACACCTGAGATCCAAGCTCAGGCAACCAGCCACCCACTGGTCAATAGATGTTTCTGGAGTCTCTGCTCTGTAATCAGTGCTGTTGATTAGGCTGGGCAGGGAGCTGTGGCTATGTTTCCTTAGCACACTAAAAGGGCAAGTCTGGCTTCTTCCCTCAATTTATAAATTTATACATTTCCTGAATTTATCACAGGGAGGTAGTAGTTGACCAAGATCCAAGGAGTGAGTGGAGGTGAATCACTGGGGCTGGAGGCAGGGCATTGAATGGAGAAGTTAGAAGGCTGCCTCCATCAGGTGAGGTGTTGGCATGAGCCAGGAGGGGAGGGGGAAACCAGAGAGAGCTGCAGTTTTGTGGGACAGGCTCCCCTCTGTGTAGGAATATGCAAAGGTCTTTCATCCTTCTAGTTAAAGGGGAAGGGAGGGATGATGGGAAAAGGATTAGATCAGGCGGAATCAGGAAGGGGTGACAGTTAGCCCTGGGCAGCTTTCCATGGGACAGAAAGGAAAGAATTCCTTCAAAGACAAAGCCACGCTAACGTCTAGTTCACATGTTGAGAGCTGATGAATTCAGCAGCAAAGGTATGAACCTCATTTTTTGTACTTTGTACCAAAAAAGGATTTCACATTACAAGTTGAAATTAGAGATTTATCATTGATCTTTTATTATTTTGATAAAGACTTATCTTTTATAGGAAAGAGAGTATGGGTAGACTGTGTGTTGTACACTTGTTTCTCCAGGCTATACATAGTAGAAGAAACCTCACAGGCCCAGGTACCGATGCCTGCCTGGGAAAATCCCTTGGCTGACTGGCATGGGGCTGGGGCAGCCTTAATCAGTTTCTGGGGGCTAGGCTTACAACCTCTGGTCTAACAGAAGAGTGGCCGAGAAGTCACAACTGTGGTTTATAACCAGAGGCTGAAAAGTTCTGCTGAAGTGGAAAGGGGCCATGAGAAGTCTTGGCTTGGGGTATGCTGAATAGAACAGCTTTGGAGGGGATCTGAGCTCTGGGGGAACTGTGTTGAAAGCAAGCTTTGGGGACTTTACCCATGATGGAGTAGCCCACGTTTGTGCAACAGATAACCTTGGCCAGCCCCAGCCCTCTTTATAAGGAGAAGAAATCTGACAGTAAAGTTTGCTTTGTTCAGTAAGGCGGGAGTGAATTCAAAACAGAGATGGGGAAAAAAATGCCAGTTTGGTTCTCTCCTTTGGATGGGGCCTAGGTATTCCCTAGGTATAGAGGGAGCTGCTCCTTTGTACAACTTCCAGAGGTTTCCTTTGCTCAGGCAATATGAGAACCAGACAGCTTCCTCTTGGACCCCATAGTCAGAGCGTAGGTGATGCTCTTTCTAAAGATTGACTGTTTCATTCTTTCAGCACAGTTCCCCACCCCAAACACAGCACCAGTCTTTCTTCTGCCTTTTGCAACAAGAGGTTACTATGTTCACATTTGTGAGCTGAGCCCTTACCTGTAGGGTCGAAGATGGGCGTCTGTCGTGGTGAATTTTCCCCGGGTTTCAGCTCCTTGTTTGGGTTTCTCTCAAACAGGTTTCTTGATTTGGGTGCTGTATTCTGTAGGATCTTGTCCTCTCCACTAACTGGAATAGAGAAGACCCCATGGGCTGAGTTAGGTGAGGGTCGATTTCAGGGTGAGAGATGATTTCACATTGAGGGAGGTGGGAGAGACAGGCTTAGGCTGAGGAGGGGACAGTGAGGCCATGGGCCATCAGGGTTGGGGGACATAGTGCTGGGGTCAGAGTGAACTCACTGGTGAGGTAGCAGTCCAGGCTGATGGAGATATTGTCAAAAGCCACGATGGCTCTGGATCCTTGTCCCCACCATGCAACCATCTGCAGCCAGAACCTGTATACATCAAGAGGAATGTGTGTGAGGAGCAAACTGGGGGGTTTTGTCTTAGGATTCAGCATCCAGCAGGCATGTGCTGATTACCTGGCTCAGAATGTGAGTTTGAAAAAGGCTTACCTAATCCCAGAGCAGTGGTGAAAGAAAAGCCATCAATTCCCCCTACTTCTGCAATGCAGAGCACTTCCCCTTCCGAACTATCCCCTTCCGCTTCCGAACCAGCTGACACACTGGTCCTTAAATCCAGCCTGGAGTTTGGGGCCTGGGACCAGGATTCCCTGGTCATCTGAGGAGAAATCTTTTGCTTTCTGGGTGTGTAGGATGCTTGGAAATGGAGAAGAAATCTGACAGTAACTGCTTTGTTCAGTAAATGGGGAGTGATTTCAAGGCACTGAGTTGGGGAAAAAAAATACCAGCTTGGGTCTCCTGTTTGGGTGAACTAAACAGGAAAAATGGGTAGGTCTGACATTCAGCCAGTGGGGCTGAAGTCATTATTAAAATATTAAAATGCTTCTGTACCAGCCAATAAAGAACCGCAGTTCCATGAGTGCCCCTTGCTTGTTGCTTCAGGCAACTGTCTCCTTCCCTGGTGCCCCTGCCCCATTTATTTCCTAATTAACCAGCATCCGTAGGGTTTATCCATTGGTTAGCCCAGCAGGGGTCTCAAGCATCCTGGGTCTCATCCAGCATCACAGGAGGTTGCCTGCCTGGTAGTTAAATGTTGAGCGACTTGACTATTACCCTTGGGAGTATTTGTAACCAATACAGAGGGGTCATAAAAGTGTTAACAATAAACTCATTAAGATATTGTTTCTCCCCCCCCACACCCCTTTTCATGTCCTTGGAGGGCCAGGTTCTCAGACTGTGGCCAGGGAAGGCCTTACAGTGACATAAACAGGAAAATACCTTTTGTTTGCTTGTTTCCTGAGAAATCATCCCCTGGAATCCTAGCAGTCAGCCAGCCCTTTCCTGTTCTAAGTGAAGGTTTCCTGAGAACCTTAAAATCCTTTCCCACCCTCCAGAACGTCAATCCAGAATGACCTGCAGAACAGGGTGCTGGCTCTGGCCTAGATATGAAAACACCAAGAGAAGGAAGCCATACCCATCCATTGGTGGCTGCGCAAACTCCATACGGTACAGCCAGACGATGGGACACCGGTCTACAGTCAAGAACGGACCCGGAGACGTGCTATAAAATGGATGGACCTCAAAGACATGATGCTAAGTTAAAGAAGCCAGACAGTAGGTTAAAGACCTCCTATTGAATGAATCTGTTGATAGAAAATGTCTAGAAAGGTAAACCTATGGAGCCAGAAAGCAGGTTAGTGGTTGCCTGGGGCTGGGAGTGGGCACAGGATTGACTGCAGACTAGCACACAGGCTTTTTTGGGGTGATGAAAATGCTCAGAAACGGGATTGTGGTGCTCTCTCCACAGCTATATAAATCTATTGGAAGTCATTGACTTGTACACTTGAAGTAGGTGAATTTTATGATATATAAATTACAGTTTGATAAAGCTGTTAGATAAAAAGGAGAGAGAGGAGGAGAGAGGGAACCCAGGCCACAGGGCATTGGCCACATAGGGTGGCAAGAGCAGAAAACCAAAGCAGGGTGGCACTGGCGACGTGGAGAGAACAGGGCCTACAGGGTACAAGAAGGACAAGAAATGGGATGTCAACAGTGGGGGGGAAGACGCAGAGGAAAAGACATGGAGAGAAAGGGCGCTTGCTCACATGGATTTGCAGTGAGGCAGCAAAGCTTTAGCCAGTGGGTAAACCACAGCAGGGGTCGGAAGCTCCCGTTCCGCCTGTGTGCAGATGATCTCTGATCAACATGTAGAAGATGCTGGCTTGTTAGATGCTGGCTTGGTTATTCCTGGCCAGAGAACAATTACTGTTTCCGTGAAGCAAAGCCTTGAATTCCAAAACTTTTATCGGAATAACTGTGCTCGATTATGCTTAATGAACTACTCCATACATTTGCCTGTGCTTTCAACCATCTTGTGAGATCTGGTCATTCAGAAACAATCCTTTCTGTCTGAAAGTCATAATTATAGGACCCAAATCCGGTTTGATTCTAAAGAAGAAATGCCCACATCTGTTGGAGCCGCGGCCAACACTGCTGGGGTTGGCCCTTCAGGCCGTATTCCCCACGAAGATGTCTCCATGTAACCCTCAGTCAGGATAGGGTGTGCTGGTGGTTGGGTGTGGAAGGAGAAGTGCCTGATGGACAACCTTCAAATCCTGTTCTGGGTGGCATGGGCATGCCAGATGAGTGCGCAAGAGGGGATGGACAGCACAAAGACCCTCAGCCCCTGCCACCCCGGCACTGGCGTGTATGCCTCCGAGAGGCATCTCTCATTCCAACTTTGATACACACCTATTTTTGTTTCCTTTATAGCTATTACATATAGGTCTATGGGGCATTCTAAGAGAAATCAGGCATGAACGCTGCATTCAAGTCACTTATTGTCCAGTGTGAAGATGAAGTGTGTGTACCTCGGTGTGGAATAAAGTAGAAGAAGGTCAATGCTTCATGAAGGTGCAGACACAGCACTGTGCGAGCTCAGAGGAAGGGGGAATTACACCAGGGTGGGGCGATCAGGAGGGCTTCATAGAAGAGGCAGTATTTAATTTGGTCTTGAATGCAGGGAAGGGTTTGAGGATGTGGGTGTGGGAGTGGCGTGCAGGGAGGAGGAGATGTCTGGAGCAGAGGAACTGGTGTGAGGGCCATGTGGGTGCTGGGGAGCGAGGAGTGAGGAAGGAGGTAAAGATGGTGTGGACATTCAGAGGTTAGGTAAGGAGGTTCTGCCATTATTTCAGGGAAAATGGAGAGCCATTGCAGGTTTCTAACAGGACAGTGCAAGATCAAAGACCTCTTAGAGGATAATTGTGATGGGATTAGTAAGTGGGATGGGGACTAGGAGAGGAGGCAGAGAGACAGGGGAGATGGCGTGAGAGGCATTTCTGCATGCATCTCACACGCCTTCATCAGGTTTCTCTAAGAATCTTGGCAAGGTTATAGCCACGATTTCCCTGGGGTCCCCCCAGGGGAAACAGTCCATAGATGAGTTTCTGGCTTGAGCCTGTGTAACCCCAGACAAAGCCCAGGCCTGGGATCTCAACTGGAAAACCAGGGCCCTAATACTGCTGTCTTGTTAAAGCAGGTGCAACCCCTAGGAAAATGCTGCTTCCAGGTAGCAAGAGAACAGGCACTGAGAGGGACAGAGAGGGTGAATAGAAGGACTCAGGTTCCCCGTGGGAGCATCAGGAAGGCACAGCTGCCTGACTCGCCTGCACATCAGGGGGTGAGTCCCCCCACAGGGCACATTTCTCTACCAGGTCATCATCTCCTAACCTGTCATTCACAGGACCAGGGGCCAAGCCAGGCCCTGATTTCAATGCTGAGCAGTATGAGGGGTGTATCTTCCAGGAGGTCAGAGGGGCCTGAGTGAGTAAATGACATGTGTGTGCCTGTGGAGCCTGGGGAGGAGGGATAGAATCGCGGCTGTCCTCTAAATGGGTGCTCCCTGGGAAGCTGCGTGTCTCCCCCGCCCCTCTCTCTGCCTTCCTTCCTTACTACTAAGCGATTAGATCTGCGAAGTCTCTCACAGCCACGGGGCCTCTTAGCATGGATGGGATGATGCTGGCTGAGGCTGGAATGGTTTCTAAATAGAAGAGCTTCTAAAGTACTCTGCACGGCGACAGCAGTGGCAGCTGCTGCTTAAAAGAGTTTGATTGACACTGGGAATTGCACATATTTTGAGTCAGGGACACACACAACCATCAGGAAGATTCAATCAGATGGCAATATGGAACCAGGCAGTGCTGCCTCTGTCCACCCGGGGCCACCCACACATGGGTGCCTCTGTCCACCCATGGGCCAACGCTCCCCCATGGCTCCAGCTCCCAGAGGCTGCAGGGAAGGGACAGTGGGACAAAGGTGAGCTGCTGAAGGATGGGTGGAGGGTGGGGCAGAAGCAAAGGCCGTCTAGGAATGGAGTCTGGGGGTGGTAGGTGATGGGCAGTCGGGGGGTAGAGCAGCACCAATCTAGGATGCTCTTTTCTGTGGATGTGCTGGCCCAGAGACAGAGTGGGCGTCAGGACCACCCAGATTCAGGTTTCCCTACTTTGGAAGGTGCCTGGATGTGTGTCTACCTGATAGGTAAAGAAGAGGTTGCTTCTGGACCACTCACCCTCTCCTTGCTGGAGATGGGAAAGGCTTCCTCAAGGCTCTCGCAGTCTCCTGGTTCTACCCACTCCTGCCTGTGAGTCCCCCAGAAGTACAACTACCATGTCACTCTCCAGAGTCAGCTATGGCCTCAGGTCTCAGTTCTACCACTTACTAGCTGGGCCACTTTGGGATCGAGGGATGTACCAGGTGGACCACTCTGGGACTAAGAGAAAGTTCTGGTATGTACCAGGTGGACTACCAAGGGACCGAGGGAAAATTCTGTTATATACCAGGTAGACCTGACACTTAGGTGAGACCTAACACACTCTGGGACTGAGGGAGAGTCCTGGCATGTACCAGGTGGACCCTCTGGGACTGAGGGAAAGTTCTAGTAGGTATTAGGTGGACCACTCTGGGACTGAGGGGAGGTTGTGGTATATACAGATGGACTACTCTGGGACTGAGGGAATGTTCTAGTATGTACCAGACAGTCCATTCTGGGATTGAAAGTTTTAGTGTGCACCATGTAGACCACTCTGGGACTGAGGGGAGGTTATGGTATATGCCAAGTGGACCACTCTGGGACTGAGGGAAGGTTCTGGTATGTACCAGGTGGACCACTCTGGGACATGGGGAAAGTTCTAGAATGTACCACGTGGATCACTCTGGGACCGGGGGGGGGGAGTTCCAGTATGTACCAGGTGGTCCATTCTGGGACCGAGGGAAAGTTCTAGTAGGTACCAGGTAGACCACTCTGGGACTGAGGGAAGGTTCTAGTATGTACCAGGTGGACCACTGTGGGACAGAGGGAAAGTTCTAGAATGTAC